GGATAAGCCAGTGCTAAAATCAATTATAAAAGTACCTTGACATAAAATGTCTCTTCTAAGTCCCATATAAGAGAAGACAGAAGTGCAACTTTCCCGTGACAGTGGAGTGAATAAAATTCTGTGTAATTGAACATCAACATGAAGGAATTAAATATTTTTAAAAATCAGTGAAACACACAAGCCATAAAAAAATAGTTTATACCTTCAGTAGAGTTTATTATAGTTTTATTATCTGATGAACATGGCTACAGATGGAAGCATCTGTGTTTGCACACATATATACAAAAATATGCACTTGCAAAAGTGTTGTCCCTCACAAAAATATGCACTTGCAAAAGTGTTGTCCCTCTTTACCCACTTTTGAATACCATAATTGATTGAAAATATATATTTAAATCATAACAATTACTACTCAGTGTTATCTTTGAAGAAATCAATGGGTCAACTTCATTAAGCATGGTCTGGAAGGGTAATACATTGCAGACATTAAAAGAAGAATAATGAACAGCTAAGGAGCTCCCTTCCCTTCTCCCCAGTGTCTGTGTAGCTGCCACATCAGGGAACAGCAGCTCACATATTTTCAGATATAGGAAATAACTCTCAGGCTTTTCACATAAAGTTGTTCCCTGTCTTGCATGCAGGCCAGAGCCTCCACATTGAATAAATCATCAGAAGCGTGTTCCAGTTCTTTTAAAGAAGGTACAGCAGTGCTCCCTATTTTTTATTGATTGCATTTGTAGGGGGAAATTGAATCTATTCCTTGTTAAGGCCCCTAAACCTCATATCATGAAGAAGAAGGAAAAAATGAAAAGATGGATGGAGTTCAGTGAAATTAGCCACAAAGAATGATCTTTCATATTGTGTGATGATGAATTTTATTTTTTCATCTTGTTTGTAGCATGTGAAAGGTAGCAGCTGATGTACTCTGAAGTAGTCATCTTCAAAGACTGCTTTTAGAAGAACTGAAAATAAGCTTATTGGAGAGTTTTTTCCAAGTAGATTTTCTGCCAATTATCAGTCAAGAGCTCTTTCCTGCATGTAAGTTAACTGAAAGAAAGACAAGCAGATATACAGACGTGTGACTGTAACACCTCTAAACATTTTATTTTAGTAAAATGCTTTTTTTTCCCAAACACTAAATTTTCACTGCATAAATGAGGTCAATATAAACTTTTTCTCCAGTTAGGGTATTCTGACAGGTGCTATGTTCTGTACCACGAGCTAGTGAAAGTACCACACCTTTGATTTTTATCAATTGAGAGTCAGGATATTTTATAAGGAATCATTTGAAGGGTAGTTTTTTTGATGATTAGGACTGGGTTTCCTTGCTGTTCTTTGGAAGTTTCAAATCCATTGCTCTAGCTTTTAAACCAGAACTCAGAGGTATCGGTTTGAGGTATAGGTCTATTACCAGTTATATTGCATTGTAAAAAGAAAAAAAGGGGGGAAAAAAGAGGACTTGATTTATGGCTCATTTGTTTTAAGTTCAGGGCGTATGCTTTAGCAGAAGGAAACCATTAATAGAAGCTGTGGAAAAACACTTAGAAAAACAAACTATTCAAACTAAAATTCCCAGCACCCTTTTCCTCATTTACTAATTACTGAATTAGTTAACACAGATGTGGGTGCATTCTATATCAAGTATACTTCTAGATATAATGAAAAAACCCAACCAAAAAACCAACCAAAAAAACAAAAATAGCAAACCACTGCAGGAATTATTATTTTGATGAACATACAATCTTTTTTTTGAGTATCAGTCCCACCAAATAAACTGTGTTTCTGTTCCAAATACATTTTTTTTGTCCTAATGAGAAAGTAAATTAAGAGGAAGGTGATATATGTTGAGCCCGTCATGTGTTATTGTTTATTACAGAAATTACAGAGACTTGATAACTTAACTGTGAATTTCTGGGGTGCAGGAATATCTGCAGTACTGCAGAATATATTGCAAACTGTTAGTAGCCTTTTTTCCATATTTATTACAGTTTCTTTCTGTTAAGATGCTCTGTTCTTGTAACTTTTCTTGAATTCAACAGTATTTATTTTTTTTAATTCCAGCTTCATTACTTGGGCCATTTGAGGGTTTTGGGTTTTTTTCCCTTTGCTGCAGATTCTCAGATTTTTTTCTAGACTGTTGTATTTATCTCCAGGAGAAAGTTATAGAGGAGGAGGAAGGGGAAAGTGGGACATAAATAAAATCATAAAACTCTTAAATCTCACTGAAGAACATCACTTCCCCACAAATAATACACACAAGATCTAGTAATCCTTATCTCTTACTTTATAGCCTAATCTTAACTAGTCTAATAAAGGGCAAAAAATATCACTTCTAGTTTTTGGTTTGGCACTTCAGTATTTAGTTATTTTACTATCTGTAGACCATCTCCTTTTTTTTTGTATGTATTTATTTGATATATATATTTGCATATATATGACTGTTAATGTGCAGAGGTCTGTGTATACAGATATAATTCTTTGCAATAATTTTTGGGTCATATTACAACCACAGAATCGTAAAATATACTAGGTGGGAAGGGACCCATCAGGATCATTAAGCCCAGCTCCTGGCTCCAGGACCTGTGTTCCTTTAGAGCATTGTCCAGATGCTTGTTGGACTCTGTCAGGCTGGGGCAGTCATCACATCCCTGGGGAGCCTGTTCCAGTGCTCAGCCACCCTCTGGATGAAGAACCTTTCCCTGATGCCCAACCTAAACCTTCCCTGACACAGCTCCCTGTTTTCTTCTTGAGTCCCCTCACTGGTCACAAGAGTGAAGGCATTGATACCTGTCCCTCCAAACAGGAAACAGTAGCATGAAAAGAAACAAAATCAAGCTGAAAATATCCTGTCTGCCTAAGTGACAGAGCTTCTAATGACTCAATGGAGCCACTTCTGGAGGCCAGATCTGACACAAAGTCAAATTTAGAGAGTCTGTGCATAATCTTTAATTACACAGCAGGTCAAACGGGATCTAAGACGTAATTGAACAGTAACCATTTAAAAATTATAATTAATATCTCATGGTGCCTCAGGGATTTTTTCTTTTTACATAAACATATATTTATTTATAATTATCTACTTGACAAAAAGAGAGGTATATAATAAAAGCTTATTGCTTACAGGAAATCTCAAGAGCTGGAAATTTAATTTGATATTTCTTCAGAAAGCTATCTCTTGAGAGGGTAATATCTTAAAACTACTCTGAAAAAAAACCAGATAAACCTTTCTGCAAAATACATGGTGTAGCAATTTTCTCCTTAACCTTTAAAAACAACCTTGTAAAATTTAATGTTGTGATCTCATTTCTCTAGTACCTTTTAAGAGCCTTACTTTGGAAATGGGCTGTAAACTGTTAACTTTCATACCATCCTTATTTTTATCTTTTTTTTTCCTGTGTAGCAGGGGGCTAGAATGTAGACCTACATACCAAATTTTGCTCTGTAATGCCACTCAGGTCCTTTAAATCTGAATTGGTTTTATTTCAGCTTGACTTGCCCATTTACAAAAGATGAATTTTCTTTCCTGTGTGCAATACCATAATGTAAGCAGGATCTCTGACAAGTGGCAGTTTTTATTGGATTTATACCTACATCTTTAGCTCTTTTCAACGTTTTTTTTCCTCTAGGTTCCTTTCCACTCTTGGCTTGCTGAACTAGATGCTTCAGTTTCAGAAATCTTGCTTACAATCCAGTATGCAACACAAAAGAAATAATTAGTGACTAAACCATCAAAAAGCCTTTGCTTTTCAAAAATAACTCTGCATTTGAAATTATCTAAAACTGGTGGTGGGGGAGGGAGGAGAATTAATGAAATACTTACAAGTGATTGATGTGAAAAGCATGATTTATCATGAGGTGTTTTGTTTCACAATGCAATTTTTTTGATTACTGAATCTAGTACATTGAATCTTTAGTGCAACAGTGTTGATCATTTAATGTTCAGTTTTAAAGTTTCCCAATATAGGTCTTTCTAAAGAAGGTATAGAACATGTTTAAATATTCCATATTGGTTTCATTATATAAACTATTTGATTAATTAAAACAGTACAGGAGAACTTTACGAATGTAAGTTTCTGTCTAACTGGCAACATACTGTTTAGCTGGAATATGACTCTTCTTGTATTTTAAGTTAATTGACCCAACTCATAAATGTTAGCATTCACTTTTCTGTCCTTACTGTCAGAGCCTACATCTATGAATATTAATATATTTTTAGTGTGTGCTAATGAGCACTGCTGTTCATGCAGCCCCACCTTAATAGCAGCAATAACTCATCAGTGTCTTATTCCCATATAATCCGTTTTGAAAGGGACATCTCTGTTATGTTTATATTATACCTACTTTTGTTGATGTCATTCTACTCATTCTTATTGCAGTACACTGTAATTAGCTAGCATTTTTTCTTCTGTAAACAGTCTTCTCTGTGGGTGGGAAGTACAACTAGAGTGACATCTCAGAACAGAAGTATTTTTAGAAGATATTGTCTTTCGCAAATGAGTGACACTCACACACCGAGGTGTCCAAGGCAAAAATGGGCACATTTATTTTTGGACCTCGATATTTATAGAATTCCAAAAGTGACTCTGGATAGGAGGATGAAATTGCCACCTCTCCAACCACACTGGCCAAACCAACAGTCCATCAATTCTCTCCTCCTCCAGAAAGGAATGCAAAACAATCATTATTTACATGAAAAGTATATGAGAAACTTCATTACAAAAATGTAAACATTAGAAGACTTGGAAGAACTTTAGAAGAACAGGGTGACAATAGTCTTTGCAAATAAACCAAGGATCATGGCATGCAAATAGTGCAACAGGAAGAAGATAGTGTGAGGAATTTAAAGAAAATGCCCAAGGAAAACGAGTGTGTTTCTTATTTAATTTCTGGATTAGTTACATTAAATCTTAGCACTTTCTTAATGTTCCAGCTTGCTTTTTGTAGCTGTTGCTGTGTTAGGATGTGACTTTCTAATAACAGGCATGTTTTGTCTTTGACAGCAACGATTGTGTTAAATGAACTCAACTGGACGGCGGCCCTGGATGATGTGTTCAAGCGCAACCGGGAAGAGGACCCCACGTTATTATGGCAGGTTTTTGGCAGTGCCACTGGCCTGGCAAGGTATTACCCAGGTAACTGAACTGTCCTAGACTGTGGGGGTACCAGTCGTTGGTTTTTCTGGGTCTGGATTGAAGGCACTTGATGTTCGGACTCAGGTGTTTATTATTTCTTATCAGTGAAACAGCCTCACTACTGTCAGTTTGGCAGCCTTTCATTAGAAGGCACAAAATGGCCAACAATCTCTTGTTACAAGGTCTTTTAAGACTAAACTATCCAATTAAGAACTGACACCTGGATTATTTTCCCTTTTAACCCAATAACTGATCCCAAAGAGCTGCAATGGGGACTTTTCTGCCCCATTAAAAAATGCCACCCAAACCCATGAAGAAGAAAGAAGAACCATGAAGAAGAAACCTGGGACGACACCCTGTGCTCTCCATCTTGCTTCCATCCACAACATACTAAAAACCCCAAAACCTAAATTTCTCACCAAGTGATACACCTACACTCCTCTCTAGAACCTATCCCACACTTTTGTGGATTCTAATCTATCTTGAAGTCTAGGAAACATTCCCCATGAAAGGATCAAAGTCAGTCAGGATCCCCCAGAGCAGACAGAGAAATATTCCCTGTGCCCCCACACTAGACAACTGGCCTATGCCATTTATTGCATTGAAAATATTTTTAATTATCTACGAGCAGTGAAATATAACTAAAACTTACTTTTTTACATAGGCACTGTTTTTTTATATCAGGACTACACACTCAAGGACTGTAAAATTATTCTGGCATAAAGCTATCATGAGAGGGAAGGAACTGGGAGTGAAATATGTAATAAGTATATTTTTAAGTAAAAAGTACAGAAGATTATGTCCTTTGAAAAGCAGAAGATTTTAATTTTTTTTCTATTAATTTCTATATCTTGTGTAAATAATCACTTGAATATTTGCAAGTGAGCTTTTTGTACTTGTCTAGTTTAAAAGATAGTGATGTGGAAATTAGACATATAGTCATGCTTAACTTCAGTGAAAATGTGAGTGCACCATGCCATGTTCATGTCTCTCAAAATCCACAACCCTTGACAGGTACATCTTTGCTATTAGAGCTAAGGTCAATTCAACTTGATTACTTCAACCAGCATTAATTATATTATATTATATTTAATTTTATAATATATTAATATATTAATTATATTTAATTATATTAAATAGATATATATTTTACTGAATTTAGATAATGAGTAGCCAGAATTTGATTTTTATTGTTTGCTATGTAAAGGAAAGCTTTGTTTTATGGCAAGACCTGTGCTGCTGTTGTTGTTAAGTGATGTTCTTATCAAAGCCTGAATAATGTGTCCACTACACACACAACAATGTGTTGTGTGGAGCATGTTGATGTATGCCTACAACTGCCTGAGGAAGAATTTTGAGAACCTTTCTCTTCTGTTTATACAAGATTGTTTGTGTTTCTGAGGGCGAAAGGGATTATTCTGAAGCTGTTATTGTATCATTAGCACAAGTGCTAGCACAGGAAGAGAAACTGCCTCAGGCTAGTTTACAAGAAGAATATTTCATAGCACTTGAATCCTGTTTGTTTTGTCATGCTGGATGATCATGAAATAAATACAGGGAGATGTTGCAGAAAAAAAATATTGAAAATGCATATTTATTATTTATTTCGTTTTCCAACTCTTCCAATGCTTTTGGTATCTATCATCATGTGTGGGGCCAGGGCTATGTGATGTTTTTTTAGTACTGAAAAGGAATGTTTCTCTAAATATATCTCTCAGCCAATCTCTAGGAAATCTTGAAAATAAATCCCATATATTTAAATCTAATAAATAAATCACTTGAAAATAAATCCCATATATTTAAAACTAGATTCTAAAATCTAGCTAACCTGTCTACGCCATTTGTTCACCAACACAACATAGGAGCCTGAAAATCTCTATGCATTCTTCCTTAGAACACCTGTATAAAATGGGAGAAGCTTTTCTCTGTTTTGCAGGTGCAAATGTTACCTGTATATACTTCACCTAAACACAATTTTAAATTGAATGTAAAACCCAGATACTCACACCTGCTATTTATTCCTTAGCTAAGTATTTAACAGCTGTCCAATTCTGTCAGAACATAACTTCATAAATTCCTAAGTAATTCTCCAGTTTTTAAATGCTGGACATACATACACAGTGTAGTGTGATACTCTGTAGGTTATATCTGTTTTGTGCATCTGCTTCCCATTGTAGCTCAAAATGGAAAGCCTTTTACATTTTAGGTTTGTATAATAGGTCTTTTGTGCAAGGCTCTCCATTCCTCTCTTGTTGTAAACTTTTTCTCAGTTTGCTGACTCAACAGGTGTTCTAAAAATTAATTTAGGTTTCATATGCTGAAGTGGATGCTTTTCACGTTTACATTTTGAAAATTATATTATAAATTGTAAAAAAATTGCTTCATTATATTGGCCTTTGGAAAGCTTGTTTCAAAATGATGAATTTTTCCATAGTGATGATATTTGTGAAAGAATTTGGAAATATCAAAACCCAAAATTAAAATGCATAGATAAGGCTGTTCATTATTATCTGGAACATATTTACCCAGTCTTTCTTCCCATGTTAAAAAAAAAGTTCAGTGCCTCTAAACTACAAAGGATGTTTTCAAACCGAGTTTTTGTGTATTAATGTTTTTTATCTGATATTGTCCCACTGTTTTGAGTCATGAGCAAAGGGTGCATCACTTCTGCCCTTGGGCTGTCCTTTTCACCATAATAACCGACAGCATCAAGGGATCTCTCTATGAGCAGCCCTGTGAGAAGGAAGAATGTGTAAAATAGGAATGTTTGAGCCACCAGCACCCCATTCTTCCCCCATCACTTGTGGGTACATTCTTCTCCCCAGACCTGGGGTGGTGAGACCATCGTGTTGCCTTTATCTTATCCCAAGTTCCTGCTGCAGTCCCAATTCCAGTGAGCAGGCATATTTGGGGAGGGATGGGCTTTGGTGGGCAGGGATGGAGAACCTTTGCAGCTGTGCAAAGATTCTTAGAGGATTTTAGCATGTTTAAGCCATTAACCATTTCAGTCTCTCACATTGCTATCAATATTCTCATCAGCTTCAATGGCAGCATATTTTTGAAGATGTTTGCTAAACTCTGTTACTCTATTGGCAATCATCCATTTTGATAGAAGATGCCAAGAGCAATTTTGAGATTTCTATTAGCTACTCTATGAGCTCTGAAGAACTCAAAAGTAAACAGCAATTTAATAAAAGAGCTCCAAAAAAAGCATATAAAGTCCATGAAACTTTGAAGAAGGATGTAATATATGCCCATTCATATGTTTAAAGGCACAAATCACAAATTAGTCTTTCATCCATTTTAAGAGCAGCCCTCAGTACTCACAGGCCTCTACAATCAAAAGGAAATTCTGGAATAAGGATACCTTGTTCCCAGTGGAGGAGGGTTGAGTTAGGGAATGTTTAAACAACTGGACTCAAAGGAATACCAAGTAAATTTTCCAGAGACACTAAACTGGGAGGAGCTGTTGACTCCCTCAAGTGTAGAAAGGCCAGTTTAATACAGAACAAACAATTGCACAAAATTTGGTTATTTTATGATTTTTTTAAAATTACATTTAATGATTCTTAATTACAGTTAAAATATGTCAAATTGTTATAACAAGTGAACAGACTCAAAAAATTGTCAATTCATTGAATTTATTATAAAAATATCTGATTAATTTAATAATTTTAGGAAACTTAAATTTATTAATATTATTTAATAATACTAGAAATTTCCACCCTTTTTTCCTGCAAACAGACAGTTTTCCATCATTAATGTATAACTCAAGAGTCAGGGCCAGTTTTCAAAAGTGTTGTGGAAGGAAGCTGAAATGTATTTTGTGGGACTCTTTTACGCAAACACTACTGAAATTCAGTTTTATGAAAACAGTAAACAAAACCAGAGGAGTTTCTTAGGCAGAACTGTGAGTCACTAAGTTGGATTCCTGCAATAGGGCAAGAGAGCCCAAATTATTTTAAATGTTGAATTGCTTTCTCCTTAGTATCACTAGATGTACATCTACATGCCTAATTTTTTGACTTTATAAGTCTAATTCCAGAACCCTATATTGGCTTTTAAGATGTCATTTTAAGATGATTCTTGACTAATTCTAGTCCATACAGAGTGTTTCAGTAGTTTTTGTTTCAAAATAAAAGCAGTAATCGGGCAGTGGTTTATTAAGATCATTGACATTAGCAATTCATTCCAATCCAATTGAAACCTTTTCTTTTTTTTTATAAATATTGAATCTGTTGACTGTGGGCTTGCACATGTAGGGTTTTGTTTATGCTGTGTGGACAGCATGGTATTTTAATATAGATCATGTTTCAGATTTAATTTATAATTAACCATAGAGCACTGGTCCAATCTGTTGCTCAAAAATAAATTAATTTAATTAAAGTAGTTTAATATGATATGACAGATATTAAGTTACTTACATTTTGTGAGGCATCTATCCAGGTAATTTGAATGCTAGATTTTAGAAAGCAGCTATCTAAAAGGACAATTTAATAAAATGTTTCTGGTGGACTACTTGGAAGTGTAGGTATAAGGTAACCAGTTCCTCTTTTAATCATGATTTTTTTTTTTTTAATTATAGGCATAATTAGGATTATAATTGTTAATCAATGTTTCATTAAAATACTGCAGTGGGAGGCATACTATTTACACTGCAGCAAATACTAATTAGACAAACTTTAAAAACAACTTTGTATTTATGTGCCTTTTCCCAGATATCTCTCCCTTTGTTCATTTTGTTGGGTCTTTTTGGGGTATTTTTGTTTTGGATTTTTTTTTTTGGTTTATAGACAGCAGACATTTATTTGTGGTTAAATATGATACAGCAGGCTTTCTAGCTACAGTAATAAATTTACTTAAGAAAAATTGGTTGCATAGGATTACTCAAATGAAAACACATTCCTGATTTAGATGAATGTTTAGCAAAAGCTGTTTGATCAGCAACACTGACTCAGCTCTCTCGGGCAAGTACACTAAATAATAATTTTCCCAAGGGT